TGTAACAGTCACAAACTACTAATAATTTCCAACTAATTACCATGTTATTAAATGCTATAATATTTTTGTTTATAATTTTCAGATACATTTGACTCCTGGGTACGTATGTCTTATTTATTTGATTACACTTATTACTAAAGCAATTCAAAATGCTTTCTTTGATAGTTCAGCCAAATTTACATTTTAAATCATAGTACCTATTCCTCCGTAATTAACTAAACATTATAAGTGTAAACAATCACTTAACAGCTGTTAAGTAAAAACAGCATTAGGTATTTTGTAAATGGTAGTGTGTATGAGATTTTAAAGTAGTGTGTGGAATCCTGCGTATGACTTTAATAAAAATGAGGGTACTGCCTCGCTGCTGCCGCCTGCGCCCGCACCCGTACTGAGTGTGTCTGTGAGTTTAGTTAATAAGCTGTTAATCGTTGTGATCGATTTAGTGGACAAGCAGGTAGATAAGTAACTAAAGAATCAAACCAATTTTTTTTTACGAAGTAGCTGACCTACCCGCACCCCGCGCATTCTCTTATAAGTGTGGCTGGAATTTAGAAGCAACTGGTGGTACATTTTGATTGCAAAATGTCAAAATACTTATAGTTTCACTAAAACAGATGTAAACGATAGATGACTTAAAATTAAGTTAAAACTTATTTAATTACTTCGTCACATAGTATGTGCACAAATCTCAGGGAATTAAACTTCTAAGTGGCACTGACACTATTAATTATAAGCGTGTAGCCTTCCAGTAGGCGCACGACTTAAGGCCTGTCCACACATATCCGGGCCGTGCCCGGGACGTAACTCACGGACTCAAAAAAATATCGTTGCATATATTTTGTATGAACTCGTACACACATGTCCACGTCTCGGGCACGGCCCTGGGGGGCTACTCTCGACCTCCGTCCGAAACAATTACTGTCAAATAAGTAATATTCGACAAAATTAAAAGACAAGTATCCAGTATGAAGCTTCATTCCCATCACGCGTCTTTTCATTTGGTCAAGTATTGCTTATTTGGCAGTAATTGTTTCGGACGGAGATCGAGAGTAGACCCCCTGATATGTCATTGTGTGGATAGTCCTTTACTCGTCCCGTCACTTGATAATCATAAAAAAACAATACGGAACAATTTTTTCGAAATATTTTTGATATGACGACGTCTAAAGTTGGTGTTGCTATTACCAATCATTGTCATCCATATTTAAGTTTCTTGTTTATGATACACGGGAAAATATAATGGAGGTGCTGTTGTAAACCGGAAAGTAATTTATGAATTCCATAGTTCTTATTATGAACCGGATGAAAGCGAAACTGCAGCTAGTAAGTTACTTCGAAAAATAATGTTGCAATGTATAGGGCCAGTGTTGCCAGACTTTTGTGAAGTTGATTCGCCAATTTATGTATGTTAAGTAGCCGATATTCGCCCAAGCCATAAAATCCCTAAAAATCAAGAAAACAATTCTACAATTCTGCTTACTGCCGGACAATGGGGAATTGGGGAAATAAGAAAGTTCATATTTCCCCCACACGTCGAAACACTCAAACCCTCAAATGAGTCCATTCCACAGACATTTTATTAAGTAGCTTAAAATCGCCTTTTCCTATTTCAAATTTCGCCTAGTCGCCGATCACTATTTTAGTCGCCGCGCGACCCCTCAAAGTAGCCTAAATGGCGAAAATCGCCTAATCTGGCAACAGTGTGTGGCACAGTGTTGCCAGGTCTCTTGAGTAGAAAATTAGGTTTCGTTACCTGAAAAGTTATTTTTTTCTGCAAGTTTTATTTCCGTTTTTTTTTATCGAGTTCTTAGGTTTTCGCGATTGTTACACATAGGAAATGAAACTATTTTTCCGGATTTAAATCGCGTATATTTGTTTTTTCAAATAAACCGACTTTTTGGGCCCTTTACAGGTCCCATGGTCACGGTTGACTCATTCGTTTTTTTAATTAAAAGTTTTAATTGTAATGGATACACTTAAATATATTTATATACACCTAAACCCTAAGCAACAATAAAAATGTAGATACTGTCAAAAAAATGAAGCTTTTAATTGATATCATTTTGTTACTGCCATCTCTGAGTTACTTTATTTGTGTAATTTAGGTGCGTTTGTAAACTGTGTAGGAATTTACAAAAAACAAAATATAGTTGAATCTAAATAAAATCTTATTGTTCTCAAAAGTTACCAAAATTTCTTTGAAAATAAGAAGGTAAATATAAAAAATGTAACCATCTGGCAACACTGGTGTTTTTCAATTTACAATGAAGTCACTGATGGTCGTATTCCAGAACTCTACTCAATGCTCAAGACAGGACTTGAGTATGATTTCAAACACTAGAAATACCACCCTAATGGCAAGGACTTGAGTATGGTTTGTAGTGCTTTAAATCATATTCAAATCCTGACTTGAGCATTGAGTAGAGTTCTGGAATACGACCCTAAAATATGTATAAACAGTCAAAAAGAAACGTCAAAGATTTATAATTATACGTAAACAATAAACAATAATACACCTGTCGCGACATGTATAAAATAGTTATTTTTGTAACTAATTTGTTTTACATAGACGAGCTGCAATTTATCAAAGATACTCTGATTTCTAGTGATAACAAACGAAAGATGGCGCTTGTAGCACTGATTTTTGTGTTAACTGCTGATTATGCTTTTATTTTGTTTAGGATTAACGCCATCTATCCGTATTAGCAAGAGTTGATTTTTTAATTAGTTTGTAACACACAATGCCGTCTATTGACATGCATATTTGTTATTAGAAGAGTATTGCAAGAAAAAAAAACTGTATATATGTATGTATTATGTGATACCTTATCCAGGGTTACGATCTGTTGTAAGGAGATTTTATGTTAATGCCGTATCGGGTTCACGAGTTTTCACTTGCGTTTTTCGCTTGCTCGCGTGACTCGCTTCGCGCATACGCAAGGATTTGTCGCGTACGCGCAGGTAGGACGGTTCACGAGTCGCAGCTTCCGGCCGCTTGCTTTGCGTTGGATTTCTTTGTGTTGCGTGAATTTGATATCTAGCAAGCGTGATATTTCCACGCAAGGAACAAGGAACGTTTGCGGAGGACAACACCGCTGGCCAATCACAGAGCAGCCGGTTCGAGAGTGTCGACAATTCAAACATAGGCAAGGCGCCGCGGCTTTGCGCGGAAAGCAGATTTCTACGCAGTGTACCCAGCCAACGCAAGCAAGCGAATAACGCAAGTGTAGTTCTCGTGAATCCGGCATAATGGTCTCCATGACTATAAAGGAAACTAAGTGTAAACAATGTTTGTTTGTTTTTTTCTAGGCTTGTGGTGACATAAGCTCTACAACAGATTTCATAATGCCAGCTGAACACATTTTGGCTCAGAAGAGACCTCGTCAAGAAGATTATCAGAATATTTGTGAGATTATTACATATTATTGTTTATTTAAGAGGATTGTGAAGCCAGCGTTGGCCGTACAAAAAGCGAATGTTTTAATACCACGTCATAATCAACCCAACATACGTCCTACGGATTTCAATTAATTTTCGATATATTTATGATATTATAAATAAGAACGTATATATGTTTTAATTTTTTTCATCTTCATTATAGGTTTGTAGCACTGAGCAAGCCAATTTACAGAATTTTATGTCGTAACTTCCCTGAAAAAAGAAAAAGCGAAAACTACAAACCTAGATAAAGTATACTGAATCAAATGAGACTAAAATTGTGGAATTTTGTAAAGTTTGAAGAGGGTAAAAACGCTCTTTTTCTAGTTAAGGCGAAGGGGGCTGTGCATACTTGTATACCATAGTGTAGCAGTTTACAGACTTGCCAGTATCAAATCCTCTTCTTACACTCAGGGATGCCTGACCTAGGTCGAATAAGCTTTTTAACTTAGAATAATAACGCATAGAAACCTAGTCCGCACACGCTAAGTGAGGCAAATTGAAACGCTCCCAAAGGGCCTACACGAGCGGGCGGGCCTTCAGTGCTCAAGGTCAACTTGCACCGCGAACAGCTCCAGAATTTTAGCTAAAAATGACGAAATGTGCGGTAAATGAATGTAAAAATACGTCAGACAAACATAAAATAGATACTAACATCCCATTCCACAAGGAAGTAACGCGTTTCAACTTGTATTTTTATATAAATATTCACTAAAACCGAAAATTAACCTACTACTAAAACTAGCCTACATGAATTTGATTTTTGCCTCACTTGTGACAGTTCGTTTGATATGAAACTATCATTCTATGCGTTATTATTCTAAGCTTTTTAAAATGATATGTTAAAAATGAAGGGACCTTAATGTATTAATTATATGATGATAGATGAAGAACAATCGCAGTCAAATTGGATACTTTGGATTTAATGTTTTTAGCTCTCTAAAACTATGAGGTGGTTTATTTCAACAGAATGAATGATATCCATTTGCCTTTTATTTAACATGTAATGACATCTAAATTAAAATATATATAAAGGAAACAAGAGTAAATACCAACTCGTAGTTGAGTTGGTAGACGGTTTTACACAACCTGAAGCGTCATTATTTGCGTAACAGCCGACATGTTGAATAACATTTCCACAGCGTTGTTTTTGATGCTATCGCTTACATTTCAAATTTATTCAGGCTTGATAATTGATTGAGGAGAAAATATGTGAATTATAATGTTAATATTTCACTTGTCTTCATTTTAAACACGAATTAAACAAGTGATGAACATGTTAACCAGTTAGTAATTTTATTGTCTAATAGAACAAAAATATCCTCAAGCAAAATTAAGAAACAATAACTTAAAGCAAACCAAGTAAAGAAGTAAAATGTCACTCGCAAGTTATAAAAATTTAACGCATCTTTGCGTTACAAGTTTCGAGGGCGATCTTCCCCTAAAACCGCTTTTTGCAATGTCTACAAAGTACATGGTCAAGAGCACGTCTAACTTCACACGCAACACTTAAATCCAACTATGCCCCCTACGATAAGAACGGTCCAAAGTGTCAAGCTTGATGTGCTCTTGACTGTACCTAGAGATGGATCATGGATAAATATTATTAGAATAAATACTCAGGATAAATATCCATTTTTACTAGAAATTTACCCAAAAACATGGATAAATACGTTTAATCGTGGTTTATTATTTATATTTAGTAAAACAAATATATTTTTAAAACACTTTGTGTACCTACACAATTATAAACATTTATTTTTTATATTATGTGTTTTAGATTTTGTGTGTGAAATGTGAAAGGGAATCCTTAGGCTATTTCACGTCCAAACATGACTTTATTTAATACGCAGTAGAACCCAAGACCTTAAAGTTGGGTCGCACTTTATTAACACAGGATATCAACTCAAGGTTTAAGTGAATTTGATAACTTTCTGTCAATCGAATTTTTTATACCACTCTACTCGAAAAACGTTGTTAGAACAGTATTGTTACATAAAAGAATGGAAAAAACGTAATTATTTAATAAAAAATTAATTCTCATGAATTTTGTTATAAAAAACACAAAAAAATAATTATCCATGTTTTAGGATAAATACTCAGTAAAATAAGTCAATGGTAAAAACGGATATTTATCCTTAGATGAATATTTATCAGGTAAAAACCCATTTTTTTTATTTTTTTTATTAAGGCTTTGGCAAAGCCATCAGCCTAAACATGAAGATAATTACGTTTCTGTAAATATGACCGCCACAAAGAGGATAGGCAATTTGAGGCGGCGCTTGGATTGACTCGGGATTCCTTAAAACGGGTCGGTACGGGTATTCTAGTTCGAGATTCGTATAATTTCGCGTTTTAATCTTCGATTAAGGCACAATAGCACTATCCTATTCCACTTTAAACTAGATTTCATAAAATAATTGAAAGTCAAAATAAAACCGAAACTTTTCCCTCCAAAAGGTCCAGAGCGAATCCGTAATAACCCATCTCTAACTGTACCTGTTGCCTTGACAATCCTCTTAATGGTAAAAAATATATTCTTTTCTTTTACTTATAACTAGGCTGATTTGATGTGATACCGTTGCATGGTTGGAAACAATGTAGGTGGATGCAAAAAATGGTCAAATAGAGACTGATGAATGATTTTGACGGTATCTATAAATTATTTTAGTACCACGCCCTTGGTGTTTTCCTTAGCATTAAAAAGATTTCAATTTATAAATTCTAAATAATCATAAATATTTAATACTTGTTAATATTTTTACAAAAATTTCTGTATCAAAGTAGATTGTGAAATATTTTGGGTTATTTTCAATAGAATAGACCAAATGGTTGGACATATTGAATTACATCAAGGTATATTTTAAATGAACACTTGTTTGAGCATTTTTTATTATTCAAGTTGAAATTGTATTACTGTGATGTTTTACACATATACTAATTAAAAGGATTTGTATTGATTTACAAACAAATCGTTTCCGCCGGTTTATAATCAATTAATAACTTATTATTTGAAAAATAACGGTCTTGTAAATTGTTCTGTTTGGTTATGATAAAACCAATGATCTTATGATTGTCTAGAAACTAATTTATACCTATTGGCCTTGAAAGAATTGGTGTTTTTTCGAAAGAGACTAATGATTTTCGTAACAAAGTTATCCATTGACCGTTAGATGGCGAACCACCAGCAAAAAAGGCTGCGCCCTCAATACGCCTCGGCGTGGGATTCAACTGGAACTTACAGGTATAGTAACTAGTATTGTATACTAGTGCAAAGACATTGAAAGGAGATTTTATGATAACTTTATGGAAGCAAATGCTCATTAACATTTCGAAAATATTGATTTTTTTTTGATGAGGTAAATTTTTAAAGTATTATATGTTAAAGTTGTTATAACTTTTTTTTTATTTTGATTGCCTTTGTTAATGTGTGTCTGTCCTTGTACAGTTAAAAATGTTTTACAACTGTACAAGGGTTATGGGTAAGTATAATAAGCGGGGTTTAAAACAACGTATTTCTTCCGAAAACACGAACATATCAAAAGAACAGCAAATTGTCTGACTTTAATTGCTTTTACGAATAATGGAGAATGTTGTTTTTTTTTCATTCTTTCCGTAAAGGAAGTAGTGAAAGCTTAAAACCATACAGCCCAGAATTGGCGAATAGTGGAGAATATTTGCTTTTCACAGATGATTTAGACAATCATCGTAATGACCATCCACAGCCCGACCGTCACCCATTTTTGGGCATAAGCCTCCCGTGGCATCCACCACGAATCACGCTCTTACGCTAGCTCTAATTTTTTCATCCACGGTCCGCAGGCTTGGCGTTGCCCTCTGCCCATATAGCTCAATAAAACCATATTGCAATTTTTGTTTTATACGTGTTGTTTTAATTTATCCAGGCTCTCACTAATGCAGCTGACGCAGTACAATCAGGCGGCAAATCTCCTGTGTCAGCGCTGAACGAGCTTGGCGTCAGAGTGAATTACACCGTACTTCGACAAGGAGGACCCGCACACTGTCCCAGCTTCACTGTTTCTGTCACTGTAAGTACTGTTAAAACACATCGTTTTTTCCAGTTTCCACCATTATAGATAGTTCCAGCAGCACTAGTAGCCTTTCCAAAAAAATGCTTGTTACAGGAATCTTTCTCCCACTTGCTACGAACGTATATTTTACTGTTATCCAAGGTTATGGTTTATTTTTTCAATTATTTACTTAGTTGGCTTTTCCGCGTCATCATAATATGTGTTTTCCGAATTCAATGCTTGACTGTACAGTATCGAGTCACATCATATGAGACTGTAGCCAATAAATAAAAAAAAAGACGATAATGCTTACAGAAGCGCCAAAGTGACACCACAGCGGCATGCTATTTCATACAACAAATTATCATACAGTATTTAGAAACGCAGCTGCAGCGCCGCTTTTGCAGACTTGTATTGTATGAAAATTAGTATAGTGGCGCGACTGCCGCACTACAGACTAGTTTGAACGCGCGCAATGGTTTGACCTACAGTTTTTCGAGCTGAGACCGTGGTTTCGAATCCGCGCTTGCACCTCTGAGCTTTTAGGAATTTATGTGCGAAATATAATTTGCTTTTCGGTGAAGGAAATCGTCGTGATGAAACCCGCACGTCGAAGACGGTTCACAACTTTCGGAAAACTTGTGAAGTTCCCAATTCGCATTCGGCTAACGTGGCGGATTATCGCCTATACTCTCGCCTGAGAGGAGACCCGTGCCCAACAGTGGGACGTATAATATGGGTTGATGATGATGAAAAACCATTGTAGGTAGTTTGTTCCAAAATCAATAGATTACTATTAATATCATAATGGTACTTTGACAATAGATCATTATTGTCGCCATTGTTCGTTTGGTACTTAAAATATTCAATTTTGGAATTTTGATAAACAGCGGAGATAGTCGTTTAAAGTCAAATCATGATGACCTTCTGAGGGTTCAGTTTAAAACGGATTTTATGCAATTTTATTCGTGCTCCCTACTCGTCTCAAACATTCGTGTACGTGTGCTAATGCGAAATACCTTTCACACGTTTGATTAACTGTTTCGGTGGCCGAACGATTACCATACTGGTCGATTCCTTTCGATTCGATTCGATTCGTGGACGCATTACTTTAAGAATAGGTAAAAGCCAGTGTGTGAATATGAAGGAAATGGAGTATGGAGCCTACGGAGCTTACGGATAGACGTTGGCTCTCTGTGTGTATTCTACCGTCTTTATAATGGGGAGTGCTCTGAGGAACTTTTCGAACTGTTCCCACCGTCTCGTTTCTACCATCGCACCTCCCGCCAAAGGAGTAGAGTCCATCCCCACATCTTGGATGCCTGGCATTGTAAGACCACAAGGGCATCTCGTTCGTTTCTTCCTCGAACCTGCAAGGTGTGGAATGATCTTCCTCCTGAAGTGTTCCCTTTGCGCTATGACATGGGGTTCTTCAAAAAGCGTGTTTACAGGGCTCTCAAAGGCTGGCAACGCATAGACAGCTCATCTGATGTTGCAAATGTCCATGGGCGACGATGACCACCTCCCATCAAGTGGCAAAATTGATATTTACAATACATTTTTTACATTTCAGTAACTTTGTGTTTTAAGATACGAGTTTGAGAAAGTAAGGCGGCGATTTGTGTTTTTTTGGATGTCATTTTTGGTTGTCTATGTGTTTGTCCTTGGCACCCGCGATACATGGTTTCCCTAGTAGCGGGGCTGTGAGTGTGTGCGTTATTATTATTTATTTATTTCATGTTGCACATGTGCATTAAAAATATCTAATAACAAAATTTAGAATGGTACATGACCCAGTCAGGGTAGCAAAGACTCAAAAAACTAATTATTGAATTATTATACTTTATTAATAAATGAGATGGACTTGCGTTTCCAGTTAGTTCCGTTTCCTTAAATTTCAATTGGAAATTAATTTGTATAACGTTATGATTTTTTTGGATGACGTATTGTTTTAGTTTATTTTGAAATGGTTATTGTTATTTTCTTTTCTTTTTAACTAGAATTTTATAAAACACTTATACGGTGTTCCATTTAAATTAATTAAATCAAATAAAAAAAAAAGTTAATTTCTACATTCATTCATAAGAGTTTGTAACAGAGCACTTGCAAGTAATTATTGAATTTGGAACTATTATTTCGGATCTAAATCAGTCAGCCATGACCATGGAACCTGTAAAGAGCCCTTAAACGTTGGTTTGTTTGAAAAAAAAACAAATAGATGTTATACGAGATTTAGATCCGAAAGAAATTGTTTCATTTCATATATGTAACATTTGCAAAAACCTAAGAACTCAATTCAAATAATATTTTTTTTTTTTTATTAGAAGAACTATGGATTCTGAATGCAATGACTGAGTGTCATTGCATTCAGAAATTCATCACAATCAGACAACCAGTAACGTTGCCTCAAAGTAGGGAATTTCCTGCATTATAACACCAACACTACCCAGTACAACAAAACCGATATCAGTTTAGAAAATTGGTCATACCAAGACCTCTTCAAAGTAGCACCCGGATAATTTGCTGGTTAGTTTTCTCGTAACTAATTTCGGTGGCAATTTTTAAGTATTCAAGTATATTATCGTGAAATATTAAGTAATATTTCAGGAAACTACATTCGAATATTAAATAATACTTGATGATAATATTCTAGAATATTTAAATAATAAAAATTGCCACCGCAATTAGATCGGGAAAACTTACCTGGAAATTAGACATCCACAATATTTTCAAAGACAATCCGACGTTAGACGTCCAAATAAAATGTTAATTCTACATAGTTCAGCATTAACGAACTACAAACAATCATTTCTTCAAAAACTGATAAAGCATTTAAAGATCAAATGTATACTGCCTTCATAAACTTATCTTTATTACTTGGGGTACAAACAGCTCTCTAAAATACTCACTATCCATAACAACCTTACTCTTTGTTTTAAATCAGTCTTATTATGTTGTTTTTAATACCTATTATAAACTAGGTTATGATACATCACGTTACAAACAAAGGCTCTTGTGTCTTCATAGTCTAAATAATCGCTGTATTAAAATATTATCTGTTGCCTACATTCAATGGTTGCTTATTCAAAATTCACTTTTTCATTAT